TAATGTACAGAGCCTACTTCCTCCCTCCCCCATTCTCAGCAGTTGTTTTAGGGCTTATCTAGACTACAGAAATTTGAACCACTGTCTCTGCACTGATGTAATTGTGCCAATGCAAACCCCTAACCTAGACATACTGCATCAGCACAAAAAGGAGCCTGCTGTTGTGTAGAGGGCCTACACACTGGGCCGACGCAACACGGCAAGTATGTTGAAGCAATTATACCAGCACAAATTTCCCTGTTCTAGACAAGACTTTCATACCCATGTACAGACATACTAATTTGAAAGGGCCTCACTATTACCCACAAACAGGGTTAACTATGAGAGTCATGGATCGTCACAGAGCCCATCTGCTGCCTTAGCTCTTCTGCGTACGTGCAGAAAGCAAGAGAATTTTTCACCTTTATCGGGAACTGAATGAAAAGTTCAGGCAAAAAGACAACACAGCTGCCGGGCCAGAGAACATCGGCACAAAACAATGCACTCAAGGAGATTCCTAGGGGGTTTCACATGCTCAAAATGCCACGTTTGAATAAAAAGCCCACATCTATATTTTCAGAGCTGCTACCATGAAAACAGCTAACCCTGCGGTAGTCATGGAGGCCTGTGCATGCATAGCAGGGAGTCAGAAGGCAATGCAGTTGCTTCATTCCCTCCTCCAAATGCATGTGTCAGCCTGAGACAGTCTCCGGTCTCACTGTGAGACCCCACCAGGGATTTGGCCACCGGCCCTTTCTCCTGATGTCATGGTGGAACTCCCATCTCCACCTCACAAGAGCCGTAAGAAGAGGCGGGAGTAAGATACTTTAATGAGCAAGTGATTTTAAAAGCAAGTTAAACTTGAGCCAAGTGGAATGCCACACCCCAGCACCTATCGCTGCAGCCAGCACTATAAACTCCAGGCACCAGCATTCAGACTTGGAATCTTATGTGTGCACAAGGGCTTTGTCTGGAAAACTAGGGAGTCTCTTGGAGGCACCTGGAACCTCACTCTGCCATGCAGCCCAAGATGCTACTGGACAACATGGATACATCTTGCTGTGCAGGGTGAGGGACAAGGAGACGACTGGCTCAGTGAGCCACACAGACCACAGAAACTGGAAGAGGAGATGCCAGAGACATGGCCAGGAGCTGTGTGTGCAGAACTGGGATTTAGTCATGGCAGCAGAGACTGAGCCCAACTCACTCCAGGAGGGGAATCAGGAGAGGAGGTGCTGTCTAGGTCAGGTAAGTAGCTTTTCATTATCAAGTGTCCCAGCGAGGGCTGATTTTGCAGGCTTGGACCTGGCAGAATTTTCCAGGTTTTTATGAGCACTGCCATCACTGTAAAAGGGTAGATACAGCCTCCTATGAGAGCAGGAACATCCACCTCTCCCTCTGCTCTGCCAGTTCCTGTTCCCGTTCCCTCTCCCACACACACACACCTCCACAATGCAAGGGGCAGCTACCGAGTCCCTCCCCAGCCCAGCCAGTTTGGTTTCTCTGTAACTCCCTAGGGTGGGAAACTGGAGACCCCACTTAGCAGCACTGACCACTACTCCCAGTCAAGGTGCTCGATCTGGTGTGAACTGCAGCTGGTCAAGTCATGTCATTTGACCAGCAGTGAAATGGCAAGAAGAAGAGGATTAAACACAACACAAACTGCAATTCAGAAACTACAACGTTATTGCAATAAGTAAAATTTCAAGCACCACAGCCAAAGGATTTATAGTACAGTGCATCTATCCTCCCATGTGCCAGATCATGGCACCTCATTAGCATGCTGCTCTTACCTACACATATCACATTTCACTGTCTTCCTATTTAATGTGTGAAAAATATTCTTAGGTATATTATCCTAGCAAACTGACACAAGCCACAAGTGGGGAAATAACTACACTGCCTATCCCACCTGTTGTTGTGATCACCACCACAACAGTAGTTACCACTGTTCATTTCCCAGCCACAAACTGGTGCCAGCTCTCATAGGACAATCTCCACTCCTCCTGCTTCACTGACTACCTCAACACAGCAGTGTAGTTCTAAACAAAGAGATACAAAGGTGCTGCAGTTATGTAGCTACAGCTGTGGGTCCCAGGTCTTGAGAACAACTGAGTCCCACCAGTCTGTGGTCATGGACCAGGCCCCAAAACAGCATTCTACCTGCTAAAGATCATCCTCAGGTATAGCACACAGACAAACATATATTCAGACATTGGTGGAAGATGCACAATAACTGCCTGACATAGTTGGAAAGCTGCTCATCTTAGTCTCTGCATCTCCACTTCAACTGCCAGAATCCCCTCTACCACCTCACTGCAACCACCTTGCACTCACTGTTGAAATGCTTCAACAAACACCTCCTTGCTGAACGGTACGTAAGCACCGAGTGTTCCATGTTGACGAAATACCTGGGAAATGGGTACTGCTATGGGAATTTCTCCAGGTAATTACTGAAGTTTCCCAGTGAATGAAGGGAATTTGACCTCTGTTCCCTAATTTTCCTTTTGCAGAAGGTTCTTCTAAAGCCTAGGGCATGGGTGGCCAACCTGAGCCTGAGAAGCAGCCAGAATTTACCAATGTACATTGCCAAAGAGCCACAGTAATACCTCAACAGCCCCAACCCGCTCCCAGCACCTCCCACCCACCAGCAGCCCGGCCAATCAGCACCTCCCCTCCCTCCCCGCACCTCCTGATCAGCTGTTTTGTGGCATGCAGGAGGATGGGTGGGGTGCACAGCAGGCTCAGGGTGGGGTGCACAGCAGGCTCAGGGTGGGGCGCGAGAAGGGGTGGAGTGGGGGCAGGGCCTGTGCCAGAGTCGGGGATTGAGCAGTGAGCACCCCGCAGCACAGTGGAAAGTTGGCGCCTGGAGCTCCAGCCCTGGAATCGGTGCCTATCCAAGGAGCTGCATATTAACTTCTGAAGGGCTGCATGTGGCTCCGGAGCCACAGGTTGGCCACCCCTGGCCTAGGGGGACACACTCTGCAATTAGTACTTACACTGGTGCAATATCACTGGTTCAATTACCAATAATTCAGTTCTCTATGCAGATATTACCTGAAAGTCCATAGCCCTAGCACAGTTCAGAAACACATTTCAAAGACACTGTGTTCTCAGCTATACCGCAAGATAGTTATATGTTGTAACTAGGCCTCTAAAATGCAGTTAGGATCTAGCTCAACAAGACACTTGAGCACATTTCAACTTCTTTTTTTTTTTTTAAATAGCTCAAGACTTGTAGCAGAAGCCAACAGTAAAATAATTGGCAACACACATCTGGGATTTGAGAGTTTTATAAGAAAAAGGACAGGAAACATGCTTAAGGCCCTGCTGCTGCAATGTAATCCAAATGGATGTAGGAGTGAGTTTTGTGCAGACTTCACAATAGAACTGGGACCACAGAAAGGGAAATCTCCATTGACAATGATGGTTTTTTTTTTTCTTTTTCTTCAATATAAGATTTGAAACATTAAGAATTAAGTGGTTTATAAACACAACAACAGTTTCTTGTAGGTAACTGACAATCAAAACACAAAAAAGCTATAAATTAAACTTGCCTCAAAACACTACTCATGTCTTGCCCCTACAAATTGACACATTAGGCCTAGAAACTAGACAAAGCCCCATTACCTAAATTTAAAATGGATTAGCCTACAGTTTACTGGGTCTCTCTATAATCCTCTCCTAAGATTTTCAATATGCCATTTCAATGCAAGTCTCAATCATTGTTCAATTACAACTGTACTGCAAGTTTGGGGAGCTTAAATCCAAAAATTCAACAATGAAGACATTTCTTATTTAATTATTTCCTATTAATGTCTCAGAACTATTTTCAAAGGGAGTGACTGAATCTTTAATAAAATTATCGAAGGGAAGTCTACGATTTGTCACCAGCAACAAATACTGTAATTCTTCTTAGAATAATGAAAGGAAATGCATAATTGATATTGGTTTAAATTACTGACAGTACCAAAAAAACCCCACCCCAAATCAGTGAGCACAGAAACCGGCAGCAACAAAAACAGTGATTTCTAGTGAAATATGGTCCACGGAAATTTCATTTTAATGATTAGTGCTAAAGGCCTTGACTCATGGTCTGTTATCTTTACTGGATAAATCAAGAATGAAAGAATTAACAAGATAGAGCTAATTACTCTAAATTAATAATAAAGCAGCCTTTACTCTTCACTATTCAGAAAGGACTGAAATGTTAGCCAGCAGTTCTGGACTGTCACTTAGAGGCTCCTCTTCTTACTCAGATTTCCTACGGCCAAGCTAAATTTACTTTTACAACTACCAACGCCCCCCCAGACTAGCTCTCTGCTAAGATTATTACATGCCTATGTGCTTTTTTAAAAAAAAATGTAGCGGTTTGAACCACAACTATCCTTCCCTACCGGGTAAGAGCGCTTAGAGTATCCAGGTCCGTCCCCAGGCACCAGTAAAACATTGTAACGTGCCCGGGGACATGAAGAAATATTCCCCCAAAGCATCGGACTCCCTTTGGAACCGATTTCCTTTTGGTTTCAGTTTGGTTGTAAATCCAACCACCAGGCTCTTGGGAGGGGGCTCTGGCAGCAGCGGCAAAGTCCCCAGGAAGTTGGCCTGCATGACTCCACACCGGGAGTTAAATCCACGTAGTGTAGGCAGGAGAACAGCTGTCTGGCAGCCCCACGTCGGGAGTCTCCCCAGTCACACCAAAGCACCTGCTCCCTGCGGCTCCACACCCAGCCCTGATCTGGGCACCCCCATGTCCCCTTCCGTCTGCACAGCGACCTGCCCTGACACCCCCTCGGTAACTCCCTGGTGCCCGCCGCAGCCCCAGCAGCCATGCCCCCCCCCCCATGCCTCTCAAAGCCCTGATCTCATCTCCCTTCCCTGCAGCCCCAAACTCCCTCCCTGCCCCTCTCCCTCCTCGCCCCCAGCCCTAACCACCACCCCCCCCCCCGCGCCCGCCCTCCTCGGCCCCTGTTGTCCGCAGCGCCCCGTGCAGCCGGGGGGGGGCTGGCGCGGGTCCTTACTTGGAGTTGTCTTTGCCGCCAGGGGTCCGGGCTCTGCCGCCTCCAACTTCCCAGCGCCGGGCACCAGCAGCAGCTTCCCCCGTCCCGCCCGGCTCCCGGCGCACGTGGGGCTCCGGCTGCCGCGCCCGAGTCCCGGCTCAGCCCAGAGGACGTGGCAGCACCAGCGGGGAACCGGCCGCGCCGAGGCGAGCGGCGCAGGAGGCTCCTCCCGGCTCCGCTCCAGCGGAACGCGGGGCGCCCTCTGCTGAACACAGGCTGGACCCGCTGCCCCGGCCTCCAGCCTGCCCTCCCCGATCCTGCCTCGGCCCGGCCCTCCCTGCGCCACTGCCCGGCCCAGCTGCCCCTGCGGACTCCTCCCGAGCGTGGGAGCCCGAAGCCGGGCTTGGCAGGCTCAGGGAAACCGCCAACAGGCTCCGTCCACAGGACAGAGCGGCACCCTGGAGGCTGCTCTCAGGGGACACGGTCCGTTTCAGCATCTACTCTTATTCCTTTAGATTGTGGTCACACAAACACGCGCCCTCCAGCTCCAAACCCTGCAAAGAAATTCAGCCCCTGCCCTTCCCCAAACGCATGCGATATAAGATGAGTTTTACAACATGGCTAGGAAGTTGCTTAGGAAACCCAGGCACTGCTAGGCCCAGGGGAGAGGGAATTTCCCGAAGCTGAAAGACTTTCACAGAAAATGCCCTGCCTGCACCTCCCTCCTGTTTCAAGGGAGGGAATTGAACTGTGGCAATATTGCACAGGGGAGGGGCCATCTCTCAGGTAGTCTGGTCCAAAGCCAGTTAGGTGATGTAGATCTTTGCACTCCAAGGGACTCTTAACCTAAATTCTGCAGCAAAAGACACCGGCCCTGGAGACAGAACATGATTTAGGTTGTTAAGTCAAGCACTTGAACAGGTTCAACCTCACTCCAGCCCCCTTGGGCAGTATGACGGGTTCTCAACCTTTTTCTTTCTGAGCCCCCCCCCCCTTCACCCCTCCCAGCAACATGCTATAAAAACGCCACAACAACTGGTTTTCTCTATATAAAAGTCACAGCCCACATTATGGGGGAGCATTTGCCTGGGGCCCCTGTGAAGCTACATTGCACAGGCTTCAGCCTCAGTCCCAAGTGGCGGGGCTCAAGGCCGTGGGCTTCAGCCCCATGGAGTGGAGCTTCAGCTTTCTGCCCTGGACCCCAGCGAGTCTAGTGCTGGCCATGCTTGGCGGCCCCCCAGCTGGCCCCTGGTTGAGAACCACTGCAATATGATGCAGTTTTTAATTATGTGATCACATACTAATTTTTCTACAGGCCCCCTGCCACACGCAGTACTACAGGCTGGATACACAAGAGGGAAGGATTCAGGTTGCATGGGCAACCCTAAAGCTGCTATTTCCTTCTTTTCAGTGCTTGACATGCAACCTAAAAACATTATTTTAATTTGTTTTTTGTATGCAATGTTTTATTAATGAAACGGAAGAATGTTAAGAGTATAATCAGTTATCATAGTCTTTACCTTGACATGTGCCATTGGGATGGAGGAGCTTGATCCAGACCACAGAGTTGATCCAGTTGTGGAATGATTGGCCCAAAGTAAAACTGGAAAGGGACCTACAAATCTCCCCAGGAAAACAGAGGCTGAAGGGGGAACATAGGGCGTGGATAGGGCTTAATGTTGACCCTCTCACCTCCATGTCAGTTAGGCTGCTACTGCCTCCACTCCAATGGCTCAGAACTGGCTATGCACCAACAGGGAACAAGGAGGCTAGAAGCATGAACAGTCTTCCTGTCCTCGGTGCAGTACCAGTGCCTCCAATACCCCAGGGCTTCGAGGAATCACTATGGGCAAATCTCAGAGCTGGTCTACACTGAAAATTTACATCAGCATAGCTGTGTCTCTCAGGGGTGTGAAAAATCCACACCCCTGAGAGACATAGCTATCCCAACGGGACCTAACCCCTGGCATAGTCAGCGCTAGGTCAATGGAAGAATTCTTCTGCTGACCTCGCTGCCACCTCTCTAGGAGGTAGATTAACTACAGCGAGGGGAGAACCTCACCCATCATGCAGTGAGTGTCTACACTGAAGTGCTGCAGTGACGCAGCTTCAGGGCTGCAGCTGTGCTACTGTGGCATTTTAAGTGTAGACGTACCCTCAAGTTAGTTCCAGCAGCCCAGCTGGGTGCTTGAGGGAGTCAATGGTTGTGGCTAGTAGAAAACAGAAAATCCCAGAAAGCCACTTTTTAGGATAATAAATAATGTAAAACAAGAGGTTCAGGCCCTATCTAGTCAATGACCATCACTGGGGCCAGGCTCTAAAGACCGAGAAAGCTTGGCCGAGAGATTTACACAGAAATCCTGAATGACAAGAATTTCCACCCCCCTTGTTTCACAGTAATAGTAGCTGCAAAGCTCTCCCAGATCCATCTCACATTTTGAGAATAGTTTCCTGGGTGAATATTTATGGCAGGAACCTTAACATCCGTTTCCTAATTGTCCTAATAATTCCTAATATTAGAGCAGCATGAGTTGTGACAATCAGGGTCCAGACACACAAAAGGGGGAACAGTGCATATACAAATATTTCAAGTAAGGCCTTTTATGAAAATTTGTAACGTTCTGAACTTGATGGTCATCATGAGATATGTATACAGACTGTAGTTATGAATCTATGCATTTATGTATATAGAATACTATGCTCCAGACCAGTATTACCATTTCAAATACACCTCACAGCAGGGACTGGAGGGGTTCCTCCCAAGCCACATGTTTACACAAAACCAGATGCAGGTAACAATCCATGGTACAACCCATGGAAAAGACAAATGATGGACCATAACAGTTAATGGGAAGACACTGAAACGCACCAGCTATTGTGTCAAGAGGGACTTGCCCCACTCTGCTCCCCCTGCTCTGAATAACCATGAATTACCACAGTCCAAGAGAAAGATAAAAGAAAACCTGCAAACCCTGTTAAAAGGGAAGGAGTTTGAAGTGAAAAGTATCCAGAACTAATGGAAAAGTATCCAGATCTGATGCGGGGGAAGAGGGGAGAAGGTCTGTGATTGCTGGATCCCACCCTTAGGGCATTCTGGGAAAAGGTTCAGGGGCAACAGGTAACCGGTATTAGAAAAGGGAATTTAACTAATATATGAGAGTAAAGCCTGAAGTGTGTCTTTATGTTTAGTTTCTCTGTAACTTGTATGTGTTTTCTTTCCTTTGTTATTCCTTCTTTGAATCTGTGATATTTATTTTTATTTTTATCCCAAGCAGGTCTCTGGTGTGCAAACTGTGCAGTGTGTGTGTGCCAAAGTGAACTGATAACTGAGGGGGCAGTTTTCACACCTTCAAAAGTGACCAACCAAAGGGGAAAAGTCCAAGTGTCTGATACTTAAGAACTCAGGGCAGACGGATCTGGGGAGAGTCGGCACCGGAAGGGCTATTGGAGTTACCCTACAAAGAGTAACTAGGCTGGCGGAGGCCTGGGTGAGACCTTTTTACTTGTTGGCTGGCTACTGGTGTTAGAGCTCTGAGCCATGTCAGCATATCATTAAGTCACCCAAACATGAGCAGCAGGTGGAGCCCCCCCCTTAGGGGAGGCCAGGCTCCAGCTCTACCCCTTCTGCCTGCACGCTCCCCTCATCTCCCCCCAGCTGGAGCCCTGAGGCCCCCTCCCCTCCACTATTGTCTGAAGAAGCTTTTCAGATGCCCCATGCAGGTTCCGGGGTGGTTTAGGAGGTGGTATTGTCTACTCAGCTGCCTGGGTTCATTGGTAATCTCTCTGGAGTCTAGGGACATTACCAATGAACCCAGGAAGCTGAATAGCACATACTGCTTCCTCAGCCACCCTGGAACTTACATGGGGCATAATAAAGCAAAAACTTCCCCCCAAAATCCCGCAACCAGGGGTCCAGCAGCAGCGGTGGAGCCTCCCCTGGCCTATTATCCCCGCTGCCCATGTGTAACCCACACTCCTCCTGAGTGTGGTGCTCTGTCCCCTCTAGTGGCACAGAGACCACTTAGAGATTAATGAGTCTGCTACAGCCTTAGTTAAGGGGTGTATGGCTTTTAGCTCATACAGTAGAGGCTCATGCATTTAGCTCCAGAGGTCACAGGTTTGATTCTGCCTGCCGACGACTGGAGTCTGTCACCCCATTACACATGCACCCAAAGTTATAAGGCAGGTGGTGACAGAGCCCCCATACTGGTCTGGGTGATCCCCCAAAACATCACACAGGTATTAACTCATAGTCCACATTTTTCATTTCTGTAGAGAACCTCAGTTCTTTCCAGTTGTGAGCAAATTTCTAATCTCCAGCCACACTGCTCCTTTGAGATTAGAATCTGACTTTCAGGATGCAAAGAAATACTATTGCTGATGGTCAAGTCACACTGAGCTGCTTGGGGATAGAGCAGAGAAGAAATAAAACTGTATTTTCTAAGGGCTTGTCTACACTTGAAATGCTACAGTGACACAGCTGTACTGCTGTCATGCTTCAGTGTAGACTCTACCTACACTGACAGGAGGGGTTCTCCCATTGGCGTAGGTAATCCACTGCCCCGAGAGGCAGTAGCTAAATCAACAGAAGAATAGTGCTGTCTACGCTGGGAGTTAGGTCAGCGTAACTAGGTCTCTTGGGGGTGTGGATTTTTCATCATCATCATCATGTTTCCTATTACGCCTCTGGCGTTTAGGGCAGAGATGAAACTTCTCCACGGCTGTCTGTTTCTGGCAAGTCTTTCAATGGTTCCCCAGCTGTGCCCCAGGTTTTTCAGCTCGGCTTCCACAGCTCTTCGCCATGTTGTTTTTGGGCGGCCTCGTTTTTGCTTGCCTTCAGGTGTCCATCTTATTGCTACTCTGGTAATGGAATCTGTTTCCATCCGAAGCACATCCACCTCCAACGCCTCCTGGCAATGACGGTGCTCAGATCCTCTTGGCTGCACTGTGTCAATAGATTTTTCACAACAGGCTTAAAACACCTTTCATACTAGGGGTATCTCAAGGTGCTTATGAAGTAATGTTATATGGGGTAGTGCAGTGGTTGTGTGTACAAATGGAGTAGCCATTCTACTTCCCAAACACATATCTTGGGACATTAGACTCTGCGGGACCGAACACCAGCTTACCCATAATCTTTTAAAAGTACCATTAAATATTTAACTTTCACCTGCACAGCCATGGGAGATGGACAGAAGGGATCACAATCTGAAACTGGCACTGAAGGACAGATTATAATTACAGTGTTCCAAATTCACTCCCAGTGTAGCTTCAGTGGAGTTACCTAAGGGATGAATGTGGCCCAGTATGTCTGACATTAAATTGAATGGGTAAATCTTTCTTTCTATTTTTGATTCTGTGAATTATTTATTAAAGGTCAGACTTTGTACAACCTTTATATGAATGGGATTAAGGATTTTATATATTTATGTACAATTGTGAGAGAAAGTTATGTGAATAAAATACAACAGCCACAGCGTAAGGGTTGTATGAATGCTGGTCACTGAGAATTTTCTGTGTAATTGTCTGGGACCATGACCTAAGAATCTATGTTTGTGTCAGAACTATTCATAGGCCCTAGGTTTGTGATTTTCATTCTTTTTAATATTTGTGTTTTTAAAGGACATGTTTAATGGTACA